TTTGTTTGGGCTAACCCGACCCGATCGCAATCCGATTCGTTAACCCGCATGCTAGCCGATCCCTAGAGTCGAGCCAACTTTCCTGAACTGCGTCTTCGAGTTGCCTTTTTGTCTTGAGCTAAGCCGAACTGTTCAAAGTTTTTTTTTCTTATTATTATTATTATTATTATTATTATTATTATTATTATTATTGTTGTTGTTGTTGTTTATTAATTATATTAGAATTATTTAGTATTCTTTATTTTATTTTATTTTATTTTATTTATTATTTTTTTAAATGATTTTCTTTACATAAAATTCTAAAAAAAAGAAAAAATATTGTTGAGAAAAAGTTGAAAGTATCAATTTTTCTTGAAAATAAGTTTTTCTAAAAAATATTTTTGAGGAAAAGTTGAAAGTATCAATTTTTCTAGAAATTAAAGTTTCAAAAAAATATTTTGGAGAAAAGTTGAAAGTATCAATTTTCCTTGTATAAAAGCAATGAGTTTTTGAAAAGAAAATGATTTATATCTAAAGCTGAATCATTTTTTTTATTTCTTTTCCTTTTTGTTTCTTAATTTTTTTTATGTTAAATAATCCGATTATGGAACCTCTGCAAGTGAAACAGTAGTCTCCTTGCATACTCTTAAGGTGAGAAAATTTTTTCAATTTTTTTGCTAAAAGTATTAGAGTCAATTGAGAATAATTTCTAATAATTAATTACTTGATAAATTTTTAAAGCTTATTGGATAACACAAAATTAAGCTGGTACCATCTTTTGACGGGCGTTGTGAGGGTGCTACAACCTTTTCACACGTAACCGTACTCTTGAACTTTGTTCTGGTTAGTAGACCTGAACCTCTTCTTTTAGGAACCCTTAAGCTTGGGTATTCCTTAAAAGGATAGATTCCTTAGGTGGTCAATCACACCTAGATAAAAAAAGATTGGTGACGACTCATTCAAGTCAATATCTAGCAATAGTCCTTGGATCTAGATGTTATGACATTTAGAGATATTTTTTTGGTGAATTTTGAGCTAGAAATTTTGTATGATTAAAGTGATAAATTGTGATATGTGGAGGTTGATTGAAGCTTGGGTTATTATGTATCAAGATGGTTTATGCAATGTGCATGCCAAGTGTTTGTGAAAATGTTTATTAGAGCTTTTCTCCCAACACTTGTGTCATAATCCTTGAAGCATCTATCGTTGAATGAATAGCTCTATTTCATGCAGATAATGGTTAAACTAGAATTGACTTTTTAGAAGCTTTCATGCAATATACATAGCAGCTTTCAATTATTTGATTTAGTGGGTGAATTTATGTGGTTTAGCTTAAAAACAATAGTTTCTATCACCATAAACTTTGTTATCTGACTATTAGTAGCATTAGAAGCTTATTTGAAAGATATAGATCCTTCCACTTACTTCTGTTAACCACGCTTTGATAGAGAAACCTAAGGAGCTTATTTCATGTGCCTTGTAACAAAAACTCAGCCTATTCACGATTTTTTCTTAACTTGCTAAGTAAATTGTAATATGCGTATCTACTTTTATATCCCTCTCCTATATAGTATTTGCTCATTTATTTTGCCTCTACATCTAAAGAGACACACATACACACATATTCTCTCTCTTCTATGGGTAATCAATATATGCTCTTGACTTATACCTTTTGGTCATTGAGGTTTGTTAATACTTTTGATTGCATACCATCAAGCAAACATAGAGTTTATTATAAGAAACAAGGAATTGACAGAGACAAGGATAATGCAGGTAAATTAATTAGTTTTTTCTTGTTGGCACAGCATGTATATTCACACATACAGATGACACATATACACCGTTTTTTCATTATTAACTTGTTAATCTATTTGTATGCATTTTTCTTAGGCACTATGTGAAGAGCTGGCTTCTGCAGAAATGAGAGCAGAAGAATAACATGCAGCACATAATGCTACCAAAATGGTCCATATTTGGAACATTGATTTATTAACTTTTGTTGTTATCTTGCATATAATAATCTCTATTTTTAGAACAGGTTACCATGGAAAAGGAAGTTGAATTGGAATATTAAGCTGTTGAGGCATCCGCAGCTCTTACTAGGATGCAAGTAATATAAGGATTCTTTGTTTTTTATTCCATGGCCAAATCAGCACCTAATTTGCATGCATAATATTCTTGTTTTTGCTTTTATGAGTGTCTTCTTTTTTATGTTTCAATTACAATGCTATTAAGAGTTTGCAATATTAATGTCTTCAATAATAGGTCTATAGAATTGTTTTTTTTTTTCTCATAGAAACAGATTCAAGTTATGTTTTTAAATGTCTCTTGATGGTTTTCCAAATTCTTGAGCATTTTAATCTATTGCTGCTAAGTGGAGCTCAAGAAAAACTCATTAATTTTTTGAAAGATGATAATAAAATAATAAAAGAAGACATTTTGCATGTTCTGGCTAAGGTTGGTGGTACCATTTGAGAACAACTTGCAATGTCAACAAGGTGCAACTTTAGAATGCCTAAGTTGTTGGATTCAGTTCTTCATTCATATTCTTATCATCTTCTTAATAATTACTTGCAATTCAATTGATCTAATATTAAAGAGGCTTTGTTTAGAAGGTTGTCGAAGACAAGCTAAATATATAGTGCATGCATTAGTAGCCAAGTTCACAGTGTAAAGACACATTTGCCAATCATATTAAAGTCTTTAGAATGTATAACTCATACTGCAATACTTGTTTTTAAAACTAAATAGAGTGAAATTGAAGAATTTATTAAATGCACAATATATTATCCTTTTTATGTATTTAAATATTTAGATATTGAGAGGAAGGAGAGGAGAAGATGGCAAAAACTTTGACTTGGGCGTTAAAGGCATCAGCGGATATTAACAAAATGACACAGAAAAACAATTCAAGCTGGTTACGTGTCACATTTTAAACCCCTAAAGAATAAAATCAAAACGCATTTAATCAAAAGATATATATATATATATATAATTTACCCTTATAATTTTTGTTGTTTGTTACCTTTTATGTGTTAGCCAGCATGGTAAGTTCTTTTATTTCAATTTACACCAAAACATAATCTCTCGAATTTCAGACCTTTGAGTCTGGCAAATGCTCATATGGATCTCTACAACAACTTAAACAAATATTAAGCCAGAAAGAGCATTATTAAATAATCCATTAAATAAGGAGAAACATAAACTGAGCAACATCAAACAGACGTTTGGCCTGAACCATGTAGTTCAGCAGCACAGTTGGAATGGGAACATTAGCATATTTTCTAAAAGCAAAGACACATTGAAACAGGTCTAACTGCGCAATTCTTGAAGAAAGATCAGCATTTTTATAATCCAAAACTTCCAGGTCGGTCAGGCCATCCCAAAGAGTGTTTGAAGCTGAAAAAAGGGTGCCTTTACAAACTTGGAATGATTTTTTGAGACCGACTGCTGCAGTGTTTTGGAACAGGTGGTCTGCACACTGATGGGCATAGGTTGTCTGAGAATACATGCAAAAGAGCACTGAATATGTCAAATCAGTAACATTACTAGTTCCTCTAACAGCATCTGCTAATAAACAATTCAGGCAAGCATCTGGTTCCAAGGTTTGGCTGCATATTTTTTGGACAATCATTTTGTCAGCTTCTGCCTCAACAGGTTTAGAGGACAGCAGAAAAACCACCAAGAGAATTTGAGTGAGGATAGTGAAGATGACCCCATGACCATACTTAAAGCAACCCATTTTTGCTTCTCTGCAAAAATTCAAGCTTCAACATTCCTGTATATTCCTACTAGTGATTGATTAATGCAATGGTCATTTTCTCTTACAAACTGCAGAAATTTCCTTCTGTCTAATATGGCATCTGATTGAATGCTGCCTTTATACAGGTCATTATAATCTGCACTTTTTCTTCTTTGGTAAAAACGCCTTCCAATCCATTTCTAAGCATTTAATGCCCGTTTAGTTGTCCTGAAATTCCTTGGTTTGTCTCTCTCCGTTACTTTTTTTTTTTTTTAATTTCTCAGTACAATCATCATCACTGCTTACGTATTAAAAAGTAATAAATAGAAAATTAACGAAAAAGAAATACCCAAAAAAAAAAATAATGAAGGAGGTTTCATGTAAGATTCGTATATTAATTTAATTTCACAGTATATAAATGTCACTACAAAGAAAAATTATAATTTATTAATTAATATGTTAATTTTATTTCACTAATTTTTGTTGTCACATACATTACATATGAATATTTATTTTTATTTATTTTTAATTTATATTTTGAACATATAGTTGTACATTCTACAAATAATTGAAATTTACATTTTAACATAAACTTGCATTACCATGTATATAAAATTTAATTTTAATTGAATTATTTTTAATCAAATGAAATTGATTTAATGAAATTATTTTAATAGAATTAGAATTTTATTAATAAATTAAATAAATTTTATTAAATATTTACAATGAAATATATTCAAGATATCGATTTAGAAATATGTTTAATATAAAATGCATCGTTTCCGTCAATCAAAATCCCAAACGAATCATAGAAATTTTCAAAATGTACCCAATATAGGAGTTCATAATGTCACTAAATTATATAACAATTTCAACATAACAAAATTTTTTTCGTGTTGACCACTCCTACTCGATTTTTTTTTTTTTAATTTTATGAAACTCCTCAATTTTTTCTCGTGTCAATTTGAAAGGAGTGTTGGAAACCAAAATAAATAAATAAACAAATTACTAATGCTTAATACCAAAGGTAGCTTGACCACTCAACCGCAAAGTGTTGAAACCATATAACTCAAACATCATTATACGAATCAAACAACTCCATCTAAGTTCATTAAATTAACGTTAAATCTACTCTAAAATGATGTTTTACCAAAACTAAACAAAAGACGAAAAATAAGAGAGCATATTATATAACTTAAGGAACATTCCATGATTTTAGTTTCAGAAAGGTTTGTCCATCCTTGATGTCTACTTTTCAGCTTTGAAGAAAAACATTATATCAGAAACAGGAATTAAAGTCCATGTAAATTAAGACTAATGCTTGATTACAGTAAGCTCTGAGGAGGCAATGGATCATGATGAATCAAACACAGGTACAAATTTGACCAAAATCACATGTGAATTTGAGGTTAAGAAATCAGAAACAAGGTGAACAAAGTGCAAGACATTACCGTATAAAGAGGAAAAAGGGAAATGAAAATGATCATTCATTCTTCAATACTTTGATGGCTGGTACAGAATAATAAGTTAAAAATGAAGAAAAGAGTGAAACAAAAATAACTCCATTACCATTCAAAAAGAACAGTAATTGAACCCCAGGGAAGAAAAGATCATAAATCATATAGTAGTACAAACGACACCCCACCAATACCCGACACAGATCTGTACAACAAGAACCTCTAGGTCTCTCTTTCTCTTTGAGATATTAACCTTTCATCTGCCTGAAAGCAGCTTTTCATCCTGTGATAACCAATGTGTGATATGCCCAAGGAAGCAGTAAAGAAACAGCTACCAGTAATTCAAAATCCTAATGGGCTATCTTCGGGCTGATTCCTCTCTTAGATGCGGGAAGTTTCTCCAAAACAAACAAACTTTGGGATGTTTATGTATCAATGGGTTACTCAAACTTTAAATACGACAAGATTTATTCACCAGGTTATGCTTTTGTCAGTCCTACTCAATGAGTCGTCTCAGTTATGTTGCTCTGTGATTCCCCCTACCTTGCTGTCCACACCAGTTGATTCCTTCATAGATTCGATTTCCATGCTGGCTGTACGGCTCTTTCTGTTCCGCCGGTCCTGAATAAGATTGCGGAAGTCTATATCAGGGCTTTGTCAATGGTACTTTTAGCATAGTGATCATAGAAAAATAAGCAGAAGTGTAAGACAACATAACCATACATCTACATAAAGGAATGAAAAATATCTTGACCAATTAGAGAAAGGTACAAGGAACTACAAAAAGCAAAGCAAGCAAGAATAAAGGTTTGACCACATTCAAATACCACATACTATTGCTATTTTACAGTTATCATTGAATGAAAAATCTCCACTAGACGATCATCATCTCAGTTTAAAATAAAGTTGTGAACAGAGCTCCACAGGATATAAACAAGACAAATAATTAAAATTTTCAAGTTTCATGTTGTCAAATCAGTCAAGTGGTAGAAAGTTACGAAAGCCCTTTATAGTACCAGCTGTCTGGTTTATAAGATGGACTAAGGTTTTAGAAGCCAAAAGAATTGTAGCATTTGAATTGCAAGATAGGATGTGTTCATTTAAAAGAAATAAATTAATAGATTCAGTTAACACCAGATCATACTGAATGTTATGCAATAGTATAACTACAAACTTGAGCATCAGAAATTCATATAATAACATCAAAAATATTTCAAAGACTTCATGATTTGTGATGAGGCATCATATCATGGTTATTAAAATAAATACCCACATGCCTTAATGCCAAACAAATGAACTAGACCTATTACACAAATAAAATAATTCATGAAAAAGAAGCCATACAGAAATACACACGAAAATAACATTGTCAACTCAGTAAATAGAATCCTTATACCTCACGGAATGGGTATTCATCAGCTTCAAGCATTTGTACAACCTGACTCATTTTGGGTCGCTTATCTGCATCAGGATCAACACATCTAAGTGACACCAAAAGGGCACGTTTAAGAGCACGTGTTGTGGGTCTAACTTCAAGATTTGGATCCACAACTTCCTCTGCTCTTCTTGTTCCAACCATCATCTTCAGCCACTCAACAAGGTTGACCTGCAGTAGGCATATGGTTTGCTGATGAGAAATTCTTGCAAGAATTAGCTTAAGTTATATGAACAGAAAGAATCAAACATAGGTGGGGGGTGGGGGGGGGGCAAGAGAGGAGAATTTGATTGAAAAAGTGTTAGTCTTTGCTATTAAATAGTACCTCATTAGCTGGTCTTCCATAGTCGACAGGGTCTCTTCCAGTGACAGCTTCAAGAAGGAGGACACCAAAGCTGTAAATATCACTCCTCTCGTTTAACAAGCCAGTGTTAGCATATTCTGGTGCCACATAGCTGAAATTCACATATGAAATTTTCAATCAGAATATACTTAGATACAGTAACAGATTGTTGCTGGAAAGAATAAGAATTTAGAATTACCCAAAAGTCCCCATAACTCTAGTTGTGATATGACTCTCTCCCGAGCCCAAGAGCTTGGCCAGTCCAAAATCAGAAACCTTGGCATTGAAATCATCATCAATCAAGATGTTACTTGATTTTATGTCCCGGTGAACAACTTTCGGTTCTATTGCTTCATGCAAATAAGCAAGCCTGCAACCAAAAAAAAAACCAGCTTTTCATCTCACTCAGTTTTTTTAAAGCAAATGACATTTTCAATTATTTCAAGCATCAATTAGAATACTAATAAGAATGAGGAGAAACATCATTATAGCAATAACAGAATATATAATGCTTTTTACTTTAACTAGAGAAAAGAGTTACATGGTCAGAATATAAATAAAATCTCTATTATAAATGAATGACAAAAGCACCTTTAAAAATTCACTCTTCAATTTTTAATCCAACAAAAGAAAAAAGAAGCTTCAAGTTTTAATGGTGAACTTACGCCTTGGCAGTACCAAGAATAACCTTCAGGCGAGCCTCCCAAGTAAGGGTACCATGCTGGCGCATTGCCCCATGTAGCCATTGTTCCAAGTTACCATTATTCACATATTCATATACCAGCATCCTATGTAATCAACCAGTAATTACACTTATAATCTGATTTGCAGTCAAGTCAAACTCAAATAACTATAAAGAAAGAGATAGGATCAGGAAAGTCTAGCATGCATTGACACATTAATACACAATCATGGTTAAAAGTGAATCTGCAATGATATTGACAAATAAATTAATGAAACATATTTTAATTTCACCTGTGAACTCCTTCTATGCAATAACCCAAAAGCCGCACAAGATTCTTATGCCGAACATGACCAATGGCCTCCACTTCAACCCTAAATTCTTTTTCTGCCTGTCCCCTAGACATCCAATATCCCAATAATATTACAAAATAATTTTGTTAAAAAAAAAAACAAAAGTATTAATATAAATAAGATAGTGTCTCTAAAGATATCCTTACAGGTTATTAAGAAGCTTCTTAACTGCTACTTCAGTTCCATTAATCAGTCTACCCCTGTAAACCACCCCATATCCACCCTCTCCAATCACATTCTCTGCTGAGAAATGATCTGTGGCAAGATCAAGATCCCTAAGGGTAAACCAGTGACCCCACCCAAGATGTGAAATTTCTGGCAGACCAACTAAGGGAGAGGCTGTCACTATTCCCCCATATGACAATGCAGATGGCTTTCGGACCGTTCCGGAGCTCCCTTCTTCTCCTGAATGGGAACTCAAACCTCTCTCATGATGGTAAATCGAGCTGCATTGACTGATATTATCAGGATCACTCGATTTGCTCATCCCCAAATGAGCTAACATTTTCTCCGAATTCCTATCACTCGATTTATCATTAACAGAAAGGAATACACTTTCCGGATGATCATTGAAGCTCTGAACTCCGACCTTGTCAACCTTGATATCCTTTGAGACATTTGGTATTTGAGAAAGCGAGAACTTGTCTACAGATCGTCTGGATCTCCTCCGAAATGTAACCCATACAGATAAGATACCAAGAATCAACACTATAAATGCCCCAACAGATATACCAATCAAAACCCAAAGCTTTAGACCCAAAAATGATGTCTTCTTTGATAATTCAGCATTTAAGGCACCCTGAGACGACATCTCTGATCTTCTGGATTTTAACAGTCAAAATTATATTTACTCTCTTGTATACAGGACCAAAATTTTAAGACATCCCTACCTGCGCACCAGAAATATCAAAATGAGAAACATGTTTAATAATTTTCAAAGTCCATAGATACATATTTGGTGAAATTTTATGCAGAATAAGCTAGATGTGATTGACATTTATCCAAACTCATCTAAACAATCCTTACACTCAAATCTGAAGACCCAGAAAAGATAACAAATTCCATAACATTCTTGGCCCAATCTTCACCCACTAAAATGAACCAAAAAGATGAAAAAGGAAAGGAAAAAAAAATTGCAGGAGAATCTGATACCACATTTAATGAAGTTCATCACATTTTTAACAGTTCCATGAGTAGAAAAAGCACCACTTTTTTAATGCATTTAACAAATCAAGAAAAAAACCATTCTGTAAACAAGTCAGACCAATACAAAATTCACAATAAACTCATATTCCTTTATTAAATATACCCCAAAAAAAGCACTCCATTTCCATTGAAAAATGAATAAACTTGTAAAACAGAAAAAGCATCACTTATGATCCAAGTAAGAGACAGTTAAAGTAATTCAAAAAGAGGAAGCATTCACCTTGATCTTCTTTCTTGGGCATTCACAGAAGCAGAGAAAAAAACCTTATATTTTAGCATCCAAGAGGGACTCTCTCAATGAGCAAAACATAACAAGCCAATGTAGAACAAAACCCAAATGCCTGAAAAAAGGGGTAAAGCTGCAATTCCAAAGGGATGAGTAGTTTACAAGTAGAAACCTTTTGTTGTTGTTGCTGCTGTGGCTTTCCGAGTGGGCCAACAAAAAAAGAATTCAGCTAATGATGAAAAGAAATGGGTAAGAAAAGGCCAGACAAAAATCTAATCTTTGAAGCAAAAATGTAAAGAGAGAGAGAGAGAGAGAGAGAGCTGTAAGCCTGAATATATAAAGAGAAAAGGAAAAAAGAAAAGGGAAGAGGTTGGTAAAATGGTTGGTGGGTCTTTGGGTGTTTGAGGAGAAAAGAGGGACCTCGAAGAAAGCTGGAAAGGAAGCTTAGTTTGCAATGGAGGAAACCAGTGACAGAAAGAGAGAGAGAGAGAGAATAGTAAAGGAAAAGCAAAAATGAGGTGAACAAAAAGCGAACCCAAATGAAATCCAAGTGGAGAGGAACTGATACAGGAAACTAGTACTAAAATCGAAGCTTGCCTTGACGTCTTCTTACCAAATTGTCCTTTCGTTTCTCAATTACCAAATTTAATTTTCAAGAATATCTTCATCTGTCTTGAAAATGGCTTTGGAGGGTATGATTTAACCCTTCCATCCATAGACAACTCCACTGTACTTGTCATATTTTTCTTTTTGTTTCTATTTTTTCTTTAAAGTTTCCTTACTCGTAAAGATGTTTTACACATCCATTAAAAAATTTAAATTTTTTTTTAAACTAGTTAAGAAAAATTTACAATTTTTTTCACAAAATTTTATTATTAAATATTTAATTTCAATATTTAATTTAAAGTAATTTGATTCTAAATAAATTTATAAATTTTCAACGACACTCAAAATTTTAGAATAAAAAATTTATTTCTCCTTATAGTATTTTAAGATTTAAAAAAATATATATTAATTTTAAATTTGATCTGAATAAAAAATTATAAAATAATAATTTTTCTTTTGATTTTTTGAAAAAAACAAAAATATCTAAATAATTTTCTTTAAAATATATCAACAAATTTTTTAAAATATTTTTAATCTAAAAATACCTTAAATAATAATAAATTTTTAAGATATTTTAATTTTAAAATACCTTAAATAATATCTTAAATAATATCTTTTAATTTTTAAAAAATTTATGATTTCGTGAACAAAAAATCTCCTAAAAATAAAGTATTCATTTCAACACAAAAATAATTATTTTTAAAGCTAAAATTTAAAAAAAGAAAAAGAAAGAAAAACACTTTCGCTTGTAACAAATTGTACGATTTTACTTTATTATAAAATATATATTATATTTTACTTTATTTTAAAATTTATATTATATAGGATTTATTTTACTTTATTGATTTGTTTTATCGTTACAATTGGGCTTTCTTTTTTAAAGAAGATTTTAAATTTTTATATAAAAAAATCGAATTAGGGAATAAAAAGAAAAATTGAAAGTGTTTTAAATTTATTAAATATTATTATTTAAGAATAATTATATAAATTAATTAAATTATTTTCAAATTTTATTACCATACACCTGCCAACCTAATTAAATGTGGAAATATAATTGTAATTTACTTTCATTTTTGAAAAATTAGGAAGAAAAAAGAAATGAAATATTTAGATTGCAAGAGTAGTCACTATCTTCAACAATTCAACTAAAATATCTAATTGAGATTGGTAGGAACCAAACTTTCCAATGAGAAAAAAAAAGAAAAAGAAAGCATGACATTTATTAATGCTACACATGGGCCATTTAATTCAACTGAACTTTATAAGTACTTCAACTTTGTCAAACAAAATCAAGCAATATCCAACATTTTATGTTTAATTACAATTTCATTTTTTTTTACACAAAAATTATAGGTTAAGATAAGATAATATATTATAAATATTAATTTAAATCTTAAATTTATTAAATATTATATTTTTAAAAAAACTTTAAATTAACTTAATTAAATATCAAGTTCAATTTTATTTTATTCTTGCTTTGCTATGATATACATATATATATATATATTGGAGTAATTTTAAAAAATTGAATAGGATCAAAGTAAATAAAAATATAAAACCACATTTAATGTTTGCAATTGAAAGAGGATAGGATCATCATCATTCATTAAAAAAAAAAAAAAAAAAAACAAGTTCAAGTGCAAAACCAATTAAAGAGTCTATTTTCTCTTTTCTTTTCTATTTTTTGGAAATTAAAATTGAAAACCAAAAAGATTGTACAAAAGAAGGGAATGGGTCCAAAAACAATTACTTGTTTTAATTATTACTAAAAAAATAAAATTTCAGTCTTATCCAATTTTTTCATTTATTTATTTTAAATTAATTTTGACAAATAATTTTTTTTAATCTAAGATTTTCGATATTCGATAGTCATTTTAGATCTTGATTAATTCGAAGTCGAATCGGATTAAATTTCATAAAGAGATAAGATCTCTCAAACATTTTTTTTTATTTATAGGATTAGAAATCAAAATTTTATTTAAAAAAAATCGAACTCTTTATCATTCGAATCAATATTTTGATAAATATTAATTATCATATTAATAATAAATATTGATAAAATAAAATAATTGAAGTAAAACATTTGACCATCCAAAATAAAATTTAAAATTTTATAAAATAATTTTATTTTGCAACGGTCCTTGAGGGTAAAGATGTCAATCCAATATGACCTAATTTTCTGAAACTGCAAAGAGATTGATATTTTATTAATTTCTCAAGTAGACAAATGTGCCTCTTATGGGAATACAATCATGGGTTTGGGAGAAAGACAAAGCCCCCATTGGGGGAAGTTAACACAGCCTTTGATTTGAAAGCATAACTTTTCATTTAAGTATGTCTCAATTAAACAAATACTTTTCAAATGTCCTTCTTGCTTTTTATCAGATTTACATTATTAAATTTAAAAAATAGGGAATGTAATAATAGGTTGCAATTTTTTTTATAATTAAAATTTTTTAATTATGAAAGCAATTTTTACAATATTGAGATTTAATTTTCAGTATTTATAATTTTTTAATTTCTTTATTCTTTAATTAATAGTTTTTTAATATAAAATTTTAATTATGAAAGGAAAAAATAATATTTTTTTGTTTTTGTAAATCCTATAACATTGGTTCAAAAATTCTAACGGGGAATCATCCACTTTCATGATAAATTATCAATTTTTATAATATAATTAGAAATATTTTTAAATTTTGTTGAAATTAATCTTGTTTTTGAACAATTTTAAATATTTATTTTCTTACATTAATATGATATATTTAAAATTTTACTCTCAAAATATTTTTTACCTAATCGAACTATATTAGATAAAAAAAATTTTAATCAATTAAACCAGTTACAAAGTATCAAAATTTATATATATATACTAATTAGTGATTGGTTCAATCAGTTAAAGTTTATTCTGCTCGATTAAGAGATTTTGAATTTAAATTTTATCGATAACCACTTGTTAGAGTTATCTCAAATGTACGACTTGCAGCTGCATGTCTTAATCTGTCAAATACAATAAATGTTTCTCTTATTTAAGGAATTAAACAATCTATTTATATTCGAATTTTTTTTTAAAAATTTTTTTTATATAAGTATGTGTTTTATATTAAAAGAAAAGTAACCAATGAGGTTTGTTTACTTGAGAGATCTATTAGGCCTAACTTTGACTAGGAAAATCCAAGTCTTAAGTCTTTTAGATCAATGAATATGATAATTAAAAATCATGTGATTCAACTTGCCTCGACAGTCTAGAATTACTAGATCGTATGGGTTCCATATGGATAGAGTGCAGGACATCAGACACCTCACGTGCAATGCAGGTGAATTACACTCTTTTTCAGTCCATCTTTTTTAAATTAATTAATTAGCATCAGAGAAAAAAAAAAAGGGAAAATTCATTATTTATGTACGTAGAAATAGTGGATTGCAAAATATTATAGTATTATTGTTATTTTTTAACATTTTTTACATAATGAAAGTGGGAGGGATGTTTCCTTTAAGTGTAAGCCCACAGGAAATAGGAAACAGAGATCGGTAGATTTAGGGTTGTTTGGATTTCATTGCATTGACGTGCTATTCAATTGGAGGGTTTTGGGCCCTGAATTGCATCACTTTGTATTTATATTAAAGGTACAAATGAATAAAATTTTTAATGAATTATTCGGAAATATATTTAATTTATGTTAGTTTATCTTTATTTATTAAGTTTAACAAATAATTTCAATAATATTTTTATATTTATTTATTAAATAAAATAAATATGAATAAAAGTATGTTTGATTTATTTATATTTGTAAATAAATTCATTTGAAATTTGATTAAAATTCATTTATTGTTTGTTTATTTTTAATTTTATAATTATATGTTGGTTTATATAACTTTATACAATTTTTTTTTCTTTTTTGTCTAACAAATATACTAAAAGGTGTAATAAAATATTTAAATTATGTAATACGAAAGAAGACATGATAATAACTGTTTTAAGATAATTTGTACTTGGAAAATATGTTATCTTTCTAATTCACATAAGCATCACCAAGAATATTAGTATTAGCTAAACTCCAAATGAAAATAATTGTATATTAAAGAAAAATTACTATAAAAACAAAGCACAAGAGGACTTGTTGAATAAGGTTTTGAACGGGTTTGATGATAAAGCAACAACAAAGTTTTGATAAATCCAAATTCAGATGATTCAAAATTCAAGCGAACTTGACTTGGGATGTGATGTCTTTCTCTTTCCTTCCTGCGAGGATCATAGAAATCTGGAGGCCTCTGCTGAATGCTTGGTTGAAGAGCAGCCGGGTTTGGAACTCTGACACAAATGGGAACCATGACAGGATAGCTATGGGCATGAACAATATCAGACCCATAATATACTCGTATGCCCTTGCCAGCTCTTTTATTGATTCCCACAGTCCTATAGATTTCAACGCTGACCTCAGTGCTTGTCCAATCTACAAACGCAGAACATGGGTTTAATGACAATACTACTGCAATTAATCAGTAGCATATAAAGCACAATTATTATTATTATTATTATTATTATTATTATTATTATTATTATTATATATATGCTAAAAATAGTGCAAGAAACAAGGATTAGTCTGGCTTGAAAATATAAGGTGTAGGCCATACTCCAGTGAAGATATTGTAGCTATGAATATTTACAACAATTAAGCAAACAGGAAGCTTCGGTTGCAATTAAGGCATTTGTTACACTTGTTTTTTAAACCTGGTAATCTCAAACATAATACAAAAATTAAGATAACATAGTTTAAAATTTTAACAAAAATCATATATAGATTTAACAAAAACCAAAAAAATATATTTCGTGTTTTTTATGTAGACATGAATTATGATATATAATTTTCATATAAAACATCACATAAATACACAGATTGCCAGTGTTTTACATGACATGAATACAAGAATTGCCAACTCTATTGTTTTTCATGCCAAAGCTTTTAGCATCGGTGTCAAACGTAATTCTGGTGAGAAATTTAGTGAACATAATTAGTTTTTGAGTTACAATGGCTGGCACCCACTGCTAAATGAAGAGAATAACGAGTATGCAACATTTAAATTGAGAAGCTGCTAGTTGATGCCTTACAATATATATATATATATATATATATAAAAGTTGTATTGTAATTTTGGAAGTTTAAACTTACGAGAAGAATTGCCCATCCAGTGGGCAAGAAGGCAAGGATGGAAGCAAATACATCAGATATTGTGAGGCCACATACTACAAATAGAACAGTCATGACTGATGTAAAACCGAGGAATAGAAGTGCCTTAAGAATCCTGAACATGAGCTGAAAATCGGTACCAAATCTTCGCCTACCCATTGATACCATCTGAGAACATGGAGAATACATAAGCAGAAAGAGAAGTAAAAATTAATATCTATGAAAACATAAGAAAAGTATGAAGGCATGAGTGGTCAGTGCCTAGTGGAGCATATTGCCAGTTCTTTAAACATGAAGCTACTCTAACCATATCTCTCATTTGAGTTTGTTACAGCTTCATTTGCATACCTTTAACACCAGAAGAGCCGTAACCATAACTAGCCAAGAAAGTCCATAAACCTACAAGGAGAATTATTAAGTTAGACTGTAGCAAGATGGACATATGAACTAGCAAAATAAAGAAAAAGAATTCCATAAAGATAAACAATCATTCATAGGCAAAAGGAAACTGTAGGTAGAAGAAGTTTGAAAAATATACCAGTACGCTTTTTCTGTGATGAGCTATATCAAGGTGGTAGACGATACCATACTGGTAAACAAAGAAACGACACACTAGGATAATCTCAAGCATCCTTCCCCTAATATTTGTGAATTTGAGGTGTTCTTGTTCTTCTTCCCACCATGATTCCCAACTATTATCAGGGTGGATACCAATACCACCGCGATTTCCCATCCACCTCTTCCAATCTGTCCAGTCATCCACTGTTTTCTGCCATTCAAAACCAGATGGATTAAACACAAAAGGGGCAAACAGCCAGGATCCAACCAGGAACCACATGGAGATTGTGATGAACCAATAAAGGCTTGAATTCCGATAGGATTCACCATAAACTTCATATAGGACCAAGAGAATAAGAAGCTCCAACCCTTTTACAAAATGACTTCTGGAATACAGCCTGTAGTTAGCTGCAAACTTTGCATGAAAAACAACAAAGCCACGACCGGTAGCTCGATATTTAGAACCTCCATGCAAGATAGTTCTTCCATAATAATGTGCTTTTGTACCAAGCTGGAAAGTAAAGAATACAGAGGCCAGCTGTAGCTGCATGATGATAAAGTCGCCCAGAGCAGTACGAAACCCTTTTTCCAGGCCAATTTCCATAACCATTGGCAGCACCAGCAACAAGCCAAGCTGGAAGACAGACTGTGTAGCCAAAGCTTCTTCAAGGGCCTTGCTCTGGCGTATGGTTGCATTCTCAAGAATCTCTGCTTCTATTCCACTCATAACCATGTATAAACGTCCATATAAGAATACATAAACTGTAAGGACTGTAACCTGAAATGGTATAATGCCCAAATCAAGTTGTAAGTATTTATTTCCATATCTACAGAGTTATTTACTTTGGCTTTTTTTTCTTAATTTTTGAAAAAAGAAGCGTGAGGTGGGGGGAGTTCACTTTCACAGTTAAAAGCTGTAAATTTAATACACTTCCAACAGCTGCTACTTACTTGGCCAACTATAGTCAAGGTGATTGAGAAATCTATCTCAATATCATATATTTAAAAAGTCAACTACTCAACAACAAAGGGATCAAACTTTGAACACTACAAAAGAATGTTACCCTAAATCATTTAAGAAACAATGCTTCATCTTGTAAACTGATTAGACTATATAAAATGCTCAGCAGAGTAACCTAGTTATGAAATTTAGAGCAGTTGGATTTGGAACTCAGCTGTGATGGACAACTACAAATGCTAGTATATTTTCTAAGAACAAAATAACCAAAACAAATTACTCTGATTAGCATACCATGCTACTGAAATAGAAGCCCACAGTTGTAAAGTAGAATGATAACATTCTATAGAAATCAAACCGACGTCCAAGCCGATAAACATCGCGGCTAAGTGTCTGCTCTCCATTTCCATTGGCAACCTTTGCCTCAAAAGCAGATATCTGATTCATGCCAACATCGCGCCCTTTACCGACTTGGATGTATTCATGGTGTGTTACGTAACCTCCGCGCAAAGTAGAATTGAACCCTGAACAAGATAACAAAATTAACAAGCATGCTATAGCTTTCAGCTAGAGTATTTGGCTGACTCAATATTACCAGCAAATATATCCTCGCTTAAATTAATAATTTTTGAAGCTTTGCTTATGCCACCTCTTGTTATATGGAAGATTCTGTCAAATATATCAGGATGACCATAATGGAACCTTACCCTGGAATGATAAGATGAAAGCATTTAAGAGAAACTCAGATGATAATACAACACAAATAAGGCTGCTCAACTAAAACCTTGCAAGGCCATAAATTTTGGACTTCGCACAATCGTGGCCATGTTTAAGGATAGCACGTAACCGAGATCACATATAAACATCAATAAAGAAGCATCAGAAAATACGCAAAACCAACAGGGCAGGCTACTAAACATATGATAACAGAAAATTTGTTAGATTTTTTTTTTTAAGTTAAAAAAAAAGAATGCGAACCCTGCTCTTTTTGAGTAGGGATTATGCACCAATCAATGAGCTAAATGCTTAGGTGATGCAATCGTTAGAAAATTTTTATCCAATGAATATGTTGCAAACACACAGATAAACTTATTCTTAAGCTTAATCTCTGCACACTTTTCTAATGATAATTCTTTTTTGAAGAAATTTCTAATGAAAATTCTTATTCTTAATCTCTGCAAACTTTTTTAATGATAATTCCCACCTCAATCATTCTTTTTCCAAACATAAACCCAAATTCCTTCACAAACCTAACTGCCCTGTGATCAGTGCAAAACTTTTCTAAATAAACTCTAAATCTTATTTATCATGGCCATCAGCAGAAAATTCAATAACTTGTTCTTTAATTGCAGCCAACTTTTTGCCATCAAACTCAATCAACTCAAACCTTTATTCATTTACTATCCTATATCCTTTCTTTCACTACTTACAACGACTATCAAACCCAGCCTCAGCCTCCACAGTCTTTAATTCAAGTTATCACAGTTCTATTTACAGAGGTGTGCCAGAGTTGAGATAAGTTGGGCCTTGAAAATTTCATGAACCATATTACAATAGAATCAAGATTACTAAGTCTGGAACTGACCTACCCATCCAACCTGATCCAACTTGCATCCCTAACGAGTTAAGTGGATTTGTTTATCAACTCTCTCTCTCTCTCTCTCTCTCTCTCTCTCTTAAGCTCCTTTATTGTACAACAACACAGATAAAATATGAATGTCAATATTAAATTTAATATCACATAAATTCAAAGATTTAAGACAGAAAGTTCAGGTCTACCTCAGAGGATTTGCTAAAATCCGTTGCCCGATAGTTACAAAACTAGTCTCTTGATTGGACATGAACCAAGCTAGCGAGGAAACACTGTCAAATAAATAAAAGCATATGCATGTATTACTACTATCAAACTGTTCTGTGTAATGTCTTGTCACATTTTCAGCAGCTTAATCACGGCTATCACGCCCAACAAAATCACACTGAATTCATCAAGATATTGGTAAACTCACCTTCCAGTAAATATATGCTCCCTTAGACCCAATATTGATGGCTTTCTCTGATTATGGCGATGTTTTACAAATTCCTCCAAAACATTTCTCATTTTATAAGCCTCTTCAAAATAATTATCCTGAGAACATAGCAGGGTAAAACAGTGTAATTTTGTTAACACATCTTTGAAATCAGTAAAAAGAGGCTAAATTCCTCCAAATTATTTCCCATTTTATAAGTCTCTTCAAAGCAATTATCCTCCACAAACGTATAAAAATTGAGACTTTTGAATGCATCTTTAAAATAGGTAAACAAAAAGGCTACCTGATTCATGTCTATGGTCTGTAGGGCTTCTCCACGAGTAAAAATAATTGCATGATTTTGATTTTCAGGCTTCCCTTCGCCGATTTCTGTCGGGGGACCTGGTAGTTTGATGCGGTAGATTTCCTAGGAATATTATCATTTCCCCATTTATTTATTAATAACATTAAAAGAAAAGAAATTGATTGCATAAAAAATTCGAAATTATAAGGAGTAAGATTTCACAAATTATAAATCAGGAGTGATTTGAACATTTTGCAAAAATACAGGGCTAATTCAGACTAAAACGTAACCATTTCTACCTCTTTTTCCATATTGATAATTACCAATATCAAAATGACCACTCTCAACATCTCTAGTACCCTATTTTAACTACATCCCTCTCTTAGGTTAGGCTTGAAATACTAGCATTAAAAGTATGGGCATGATAAACAAATATTCCTTGTTCAGCTTAGAATGTATTCAATACCTTAAACTATGGATTTAATAACATAAAGGAGGAGGCATGCTTATTGCAAGATAAACATGTACATACTGGATAAATCACTCATCTAATATAAGCAAATTACATACTTAAACCTATGCTACATTGGAGTGGTTATGGAAAACATCAAGCTAAATAAAATTTGCGTAATAAAATGTTGTTAAAAGTAAATGCAGGGCAGGCAATTTGTTTAACAATCTGATAACACAATGGGCACACCCCAAGTAATTTGATGGGTTCGTATTCACATGGTTGTGTTCATGTAATAATCGTATCAACTTGATAATGACACAAGGATGCTTATGTCTAATGTAAGTTGGCCAACTTAAGGCAAAAGTGACATGCATTTACTCCTACTGATAGTATCAATAGGTTAACTGTTGAACACAAATTCTAATCAGCTAACACATTTAAACCCTTTAAAAAAATCTTGGCACTTAAAATCAATGTATTTATTCAATTAATTGAATTTCAATATATTAATCGTGCCATGTTGTACCTAAATGTTGATACATTTCATCCAATTAAACAGGTTATTTTCTGGTGTCATGACATTTTTAATAAACATGTCATGTTCGTATCAGCTATTCTTTTTACAATACAAAAACTTTGAAACAACATGATTAGAATAAGATAACATGAATTTTCACCCTTAAGTACTGTTTGAAAAAGTTCCGTATGATAGGGTGTCAGAAAATTCATACTCTACATTGTCAGCTAGGATATCAGACAAGTGCTGTTTCATACCTCGTCCAATTTTTCACCTCCTTTGACAAGAACAGAATAATAAACCTTCTGAGATGTTTTTTCCACTGTCTCCTCTCTTTCATCCTTCTGAGATGTTTTTTTCACCGTCTCCTCCCTTTCTTCCTTCTGAGATGGCTTTTTCACTGTCTCCTCTCTTTCATCGATATAAGCAACACGCAAAGATGGATACCTTTGCAGTTTCCACATGTATAAAGATGAAATCAAAATTCTATTCTACACAGAGAACTATGATATTGAAATAGTGAGCGCTAACTTACGTTAACATGAGATTTAGAATGTTCAGGTAACAACTTCGATCTCGTGCATTAGTAGACTTTTTCTGAGCCCCATAGACCTGACAGGAAACAATGTAGGTGAACTTCATATTGGCCAATGCTTGTGCTTGCTCTCTTGCATTGGCCAATGCTGGTACTTGCCCTCTGTAATATCCCAGATCCTCCTCAAAGACCTCAGGACCTCCCAAAACTACTAAAAGGAACAAGTGAATACTTCATCAAGCTAGTTTCATTGCATCACCTTTTTAAAAGAAATTGGAATAACACATAGAAGAAATTTTTTTGAAATTGCAATTAACTATCTAAACAGAACAACAAACCAGAGTCTCCTGAAATTTCTAGAAAGTATTGGAGTTCCAGAGCCTGCCTATAGTACATCATCCCTCTCACTGGCAAAAAGACAGAGCATAGGATAGCTCAAGTAGGAATCTATATTGTTAACGCTAGAGAAAAATAAAATGATATTTTTTACATTTCCAGACCTGTTCTGGAGAGTGTCTGTCCTCTATAAGATACCCACTTTCGAATTTCCTCGTTCCTATGAGCCTTCTCATTCTCATCTTTGATTCCAACATTATGCATACGCTCCAGAAAGTTATTCCATTCATCTAGTTTGCAGTCACAGACGCCCAGTTAGTCATATGCTTTTCATGCAGCAAAAGGCATAAAGTAGCAAGAGATCACAAGTCACCTGGATATATTCTCTGTAGGTAAAAAAGAATTGAGATTCCATCCTCATTTTCCTTAGTGAGTTCCTCATCTGAATAAAGTACATCTTCTTTGTAGTATGGAGTCAAAACACTGAATCAGAGAAGCAGTATAAGTGAGAGTAGATAGCAGAGAGTGGAGAGGCATCTATATAAATAATACTTCTAATAGAGGCTATCACAGTGCCCTTGTTTGTGTGGTACAGAATGCAGAAGCACATTAACTGATCATAATGATAATTAAAAGGAAAAGAAAATCCTAAATATAGATTAAACAAGTTAAAAACCTTAGTTATGATTCAATTAAAGTAACAAGCCCCACTGATGGCTGTGAAACTGATTTTAGAATACTAACATTATAAATTCTTATAAGGAAAATTGCCCCTCCCAGTCCTTGTTTCAAGTTAGCAAGCAGTAATATATCACTAATTTAATGTCCTGAAATGACTAACCTAAAGGAAAGCATATCACGAACTTTTGGGGCGCTTGGCATATTCATAAATAAGGAGTTTGCAAAAAATGTGATGCGGCGCCGAGCTTCCAAATTTGGAGGGACATTTATAGCAGATTCTTTAACAGTCAAAAGCAAATAAAGCCTATTGATCTGGAAAAACGCATAAAAATAATTAGATTATTAACAAAACATCTTTCTGAAAAATAGTTACATGATAAATAACCATTATGAGTCCATATTAAATATACCTTTTCCTTCCACACTTTATGTTCTATAAGCGTAATATTTAACTTTTCAAACCTCTGCTCCTTGTCATGTTGATCGCTTCTACCATGTGGGTGAGCTCTTTCATAGATTCTACAAAGAAAAACTTGTAGATTAATTTTGCCAAATAAGACTGACACACATCAACTCCAAAAAAGTTTTTGTTTTCAGGCACTTACCCATTGCCATGGACCATAACATCCTGTGTAATAATTTCAATGATATCCTGCAGGACATTGATTATCTGAGAATTGAATGTATCATAATCTTCAACATCAGAAATCTGCCAACATAGATAGAGAGAGAGAAAGAGAGATTAGTATGGGAAAGTACAATATCATGAATAAGCTTTATAAAATGTAGTGCTATGGAGGAGTTAAGAACATGTAAAGAAAGAATGTTACCAAGTTCTTTAGAAACTTCTCCAACCTATTACTGAGTGATGGCAGCCCACTCATCCGAAAGTCCTTCAAAAAGCTCCGCTGTTGTATGCTAGTCTCCACTTCATAACAAATCCGACCAACAAGACTAAATATAAAGAGAAAGGAAATAATTAGACTTTTGAATCAAGAAAAAGGAAGGGCATATTTTTTACTGCCAGACAAGGTCAAAGCTGGCACGATCAATTTAAGATCAAGCTTAAAAGTAGTTCAAGTTCATAATATGAATGGTACATCCTTACATATTATCTGCTGCATCCACCACAAGGTTAAGTATTATATCTCTGAGAGTCTGGTAACATTCTATAACCGCTGAATACATATAATCATCAGCTGCTATCTTCTTAAATAACTCTGCATCATCCTTTTTTTTAAAATCTTTTGCCATGTCTAATGCAATAGGAATCTGTCATGTGTTATAAACAAGACGCTATGTAAGACATAGGATCTTGCATTGAGCTGAAAATTAATATAAAAAACTACTACATTTATCTACCTTGCTAGCAAGCAAGAAAGGGGGCCACTGGACAACAGAGACATCACTTGATGAAGATGGTACGAGTAGCAAATCTCTATCCCTGGACAATAATAAGTCAAAAGAAAACATCAGAATTCTCTATATAATTCATTTAACATTTGACAGACGATTTAGCAAGAAATTGCCCAACCTATTGCTGATCAGATCCTGCATCCGCATAGAATGTATGAACTTATTCCAAACAAGAGAAAAACTTGCAATATTCTTTCTTTCTGCTGCCTCATCCTGCCATGTTGAAATGTTTACTTTTAGCCAAAGAAACAGAAAACAAAAGGAACTACACACTCCACAATTTCATTGATTATGCAAAAAAAAGCTCCAGATAATGGCCAGTCTTTATGTATAGAAGGAACCATAGTTCGACTTAGATATAATGGTAATCCAGACAGTTAAAGAGCAATGACATAAACAGCACTGTATCACTTAGGTAGTACCAGATGCTTTTTTCTGTCATACTGATTTGTTGATGGAACAAGACGACGACAAAAGGCTGCCGGAACAGATTCAAATCTAGATCGCAACATCCCCAACGTCCGTATCTGAAAATGCCAATTGAAAAGAAACAGCAATAAGAAAGATAATCACTATCTCCAACTAACAGAAATCAAATTGTTTTTTCACCAAAATCATATATGGATTTCACAGGGCAACTAATCTATCTCTCTGAGACATGTGCCTTCAAGGTATGAAAACAACTTGGCCACTAACCTCACCCAAATGGCTGAAAGCACCATGAATCCCACCAAAAAGAGTAGAAAATATGGCATACCATATTTGAGCATCCATAAAATAAACCTATTGGGAAATAAAACAAGGCTTGTTATTCAATTTACACAGAAACTGTTTAATAATTTTAAGTACCTCGCAACAGCGTGACTCATGTCATTCCAAAAGTTTCTACATGATAACTTACCAGGACAATAGGAGACCAAATTGCAATAACGACTCCAATGTTATGAGTTACTACTACAGAAGATTCAAACATGACTTAGTGCAGGCCATAGCCACATGAAGAAAAAAAGTTAAAACAAACGCAAATTAAAGATTGATAGAGGCAGTAAGAGGGAAGAAGTGGTTTGAAGGGTTGCTAAATATCATACCTTCCGAAAAGAATTCATGCCACTGATAATTATCCACATGCAAATCCATGATTATCTTCGTCGGTTGAATTAGAGGCAGTATCTATCAGCAGATCATGCAAAAAAAAAAAACCCCAAAAAATTTTCATATATCCTTTAAGGCAAGAATGAAAAAAATAAAAAGCAACTTCTTGAAAGGTATTCACAAAGTACAATAATATATCAACAATTCACTCAAATTCAAATAATCTAATATGTTCTTTCTATAGTTGCTCCAAAAACTCAACACATGGAATGTAGTCACTTAAGGCAGTTAAGGTTGAAACTGGTTTTAATTCCTTTACATATATGGTAACTAGCATCTTTTGAATATTCATTCTTGTGCACTGCCGCAAGCACATGCACAAAATAGAATTTTGTACATAATGACCGATATAGATGCAGAAAACACGTGCACCTAAATGCAAACGTACGAAAAAGAATCACAGGAAAAGACAGCAAGAAGATTTCACAACAATGAAAATATTAAGGCTTCCTTTGGTTGTTTCTCTTTCTATTGTCTTTTCTTTTCTCAAAATTTGCAATAAAGGAAACGCAATTAAGAAAAATTGAACTCATGAATTCAAAAATGAACATGTAGCTAAAAGTAACAGCAACTGAATCACAAGGGATGTTATGACAAGCTTATGATCATTAATGAATTTGGACAGCTAGAAATGGATGATGATATTTTGCATGCGATAGAATTAACGAACTTTTCTAAACCTAGTAGAAAAAGTATTTTAGAAGCACTGAAACTCTATTGCACCCTAGTTTATGAGTCTATAGACATGCATAAATGTGTCTAAGTAAACACACACACATAAACACAGTTTTCTGAAGTTTGGCAACAAGATTAGTTCAAATTGAAATTTGCATTGCTTTACACCCATGAATGTGCTAAGACAAGTAATTAATTATTAGGGTGCCACTTTAAGACCACTTAAACTAAAACGGGAGAAATCACCTCCACATAGTAGCTGAATGCTAGCTTGCTGATTAGTAGCAGAATCCAAAACATTGTATACCTGAATATATGAAAAACACAATCCAATCATTGGGAGAAAAGGCATGTCAATGTTGTAGCACAAATGTGTCAATCTTGAATCTTTCAAGAGGAATACAATTGTGATTTCATTGAGTAGCACCAATAGAGGAAATGATCTCAAAACCTCCCCCTTCCCAACCACCAGTTAGAAAAGTCATTTGAAAAGAGGAAAACGAAAAAAAAAAAGGAAAAGCAAATTATTTTTTCTTACTTCAGAAGTGAGAAGAAGTCCTCGTGCATGCCTCTTCCTACATACAATTTTGGCTGCAGCATGGTACAAGTTAACCGAGAGCCCAATCTTTAAAAATAAATAAATAAAGGAAAAGGGGCATACTGATGTTGACAGAGAACAAGAAACTCACTCAAAATTAAGGATCTAACACATGCTTACCTGAGCCCACCACATAATAAAAGTGATAATTCGCCAGTTTGAGCGCTCCATGGATTTTCGTAAAGGTGGAAGTAGAAACATTATAGCAGCTAGTATATTGGGTATCAAATATATTGCAACAGCATAATTATAAAAAGACTCATTTCGCCAATCTTTAGCCCAACTGCTGAAGAATTTTACAAGACCTGTTGGGTTCTGTACAGAGCTAGAATAACCAATTGGCAAAACCACTGCCCAGAAAGCTGCTACGGCAAATTTCAGAAGGTACCGGAGTATTTGGGTAATTTTCAAGCTTCTCCAGGCGTTGAGACTAAGAATTATATCCAAAGTAACTGCATGAAAAGTGATTGAATCACAAAATCTTTAAACTGCCACTAAAAGAGGAAATAATTGGGTCATGAAATTTCGAACTGCATTAGCAATGACTTATTAACAAATTCCTGAAGCAAAGCATCCACATGGCTATACTTCATTTTATAGAAGACTAACAGCATTGCTTCTTGTGGGAAAACAGTTATTTACAGCTGGTTGTAATCTTGTAATCTGTATATTTATATTTGTATCTCTAGAATTAAGTATTTGTATCCCTAGAATTAAGGATAAAAAATTAGGATAGACAATCACTCACTTCTAGGATCAGTTTTAGGAAGATTTAGTTTCCTAATTTATCCACTAGTTAGTTGTATATAAACTTAAGGTGCTTGTATAATTCTTTATGAGCAATTTTCAATATACATTTTACTCTTAGTTTTCACACAATTTTTATTTCTTAGTTTTTCCACATGGTATAAGAGCTTTAGGCTCTTCTTGGGAAGAAAGTTTTTTCAGCCTTCATTGCTGAATTCTATTTCAGGCATTCATAGCTAAATCTTTTAGTCTTATTTTTTCCTTCTTTGGCCTTCATTGCCTAGAATCGTCTCTGGTTAAACCTTTGCTATCAAGACTCGTTTTAGTCCCAAACAAGATAACCATACCAAAGTGTGGGAAAACACTTATTTACAGCTGGTTGTAATCTTGTAATCTGTATATTTATATTTGTATCTCTAGAATTAAGTATTTGTATCGTTAAAATTAGGATAGACAATCCCTCAATTATAGGATTAGTTTTTTAGGAAGATTTAGTTTCCTAGTTTAACCCCTAGTTAGTTGTATATAAACCTAAGATTCTTGTATAATTCTCAATAAGCAGTTTTCCAACATACATTCAGTTTCCACACTGATTTATTTCTTAGTTTTTCCACATGATATCAGAGCTAACCTTAAACCGCTCGATCTATGCCAAGCACCTCGAGGGAGGTAGGTAGGGTGGCCAGCCTTCGTGACCAGGGCGTCACGAGGTTGGGTGGGGGAGAATGTCACGAACATAAGAAAAAGTCTTGAATCCCACATCGAATATAAAAGGAGGGTCACTGGGTTATAAAAAGGTTTAACACCATCTCTGCCTTGTAAGGCGCCTTTTGTAAGACAAAACCGTGAGACCAAGGGGGTCAGAACGGACAATACCTCACAAGGATGTGAACCGTGGAAGGAAGGCTGATCTAGGACACCGAAAGGGTGAATGCCTGGGTCCCGGAGCCGCGCGGGTTCGGAGCTTAATTCTCGACCCGTGACAAGTGGTATCAGAGCTTTAGGCTCTTCTTGGGAAGCAAAATTTTCAGCCTTCATCGCTGAATTTTTTAGGCCTTCATTGCCGAATCCTGTTTAGGCCTTCATTGCCGAACCCTTTCAAAGAAAGATATCACTACCACCCAATTTGAGAAAATGTTAACTGGAAAAATAACTGGAGTACTACAGATGTCTCAGAAACAAAAAGAGTTTGACAGGGAAGAGATTGAAAAGCTGAGAAACTTATTGAAAATCCTTGAAAAGCCTACTGTGGTATGTTCTTTGGGTAAGGTTTCTAGTTCAGGTAAAGCTTCCGATTCTCATGGATTAAATGTCTCGGCTAAGCCTATTACGAGTTCTTGGGTAATTGACTCAAGAGCCACAGACCACATGACACATTCCTCACAAAAGTTTAGTACATATAACCTATGTCCTAGTAATAAGAAAATTGTTGTTGCAGATGGTTCACTTACCATAGTGGCAGGATTAGGAGATGCTCAAGTTAATCCCTCGTTTGTTCTCAAAAATGTTCTTTATGTTCCTGGATTGTTTACTAATCTGATATCTATACAAAAACTTACCAGAGATATGAATTGCAAAGTAACTTTTTATCCCTCTTATTGTGAATTTCAAAACCAGAGTTCAGGGAAGATGATTGGACTTGCTAAAGAGAAGGATGGACTATACTATCTTGAGACATCAAATAACACAAGTAGTATCAAGAATAGTTTACCTTTGTCATTTCTTTCTGAAAAGTCTTCCAATAAAGACAAAATCTGGCTTTATCATTTTCATCTTGGACATCCTTCTTTTGGAACCTTGAGAAACATGTTTCCTTCTTTGTTCAAAGGATTAAATGTCGAAGATTTTCATTGTGATGTTTGCGAACTTGCAAAGGATAGACGTGTGTCTTTTCCAATCAATAACAAAAGAAGTTCTACTCCCTTTTACTTGATTCATAGTGACATATGGGGTCCTTCTACAATTCCTAATATTTCTGATGCGAGATGGTTTGTTTCATTCATAAATGATTGTACCAGGATCTCTTGAGTTTTTTTACTTAAATCCAAATCAGATGTGAATAGTGTGTTTTTAAGCTTCCAAAACATGATCCAAAACCAATTTGGAGTGAGAATCAAGAGATTTAGGTCTGATAATGCAAGAGACTACTTCAACCAAAGTCTATCTACCTATTTCCAAAAAGAGGGGATTATCTATGAGTCATCTTGTGTTAATACTCCACAGCAGAATGGAGTGACAGAAAGGAAAAACAGCAATTTACTAACCACAACCCGAGCCTTTCTTTTTCAAGCAAATGTACCTAAATTTTACTAGGGTAAAACTGTTCTCACTGCCACACATATTATAAATATAGTCTTTGACCAACTTTGGAAATGAGGTAACTATAGTCTTTGACTCTGTTTCTTAAAATGAGCTTGAATCTCCTAAAACTATAATTAGTGATTATGATCTGCTTATTGCTATTAGGAAAGGAACCAGAAAATGTACTAAGCATCCACTATACCCAATCTCTAATTTTGTATCATTCAAAAAACTCTCACCATCCCACAAAAATTTCCTTGTAAGCCTAAACACTATTTCTATTCCAACTACATTATTTGAGGCATTATCCAGTGAGAAATAAAGGCAAGCCATGAAAATAGAAATGGAGGCCTTCGAGAAAAATAAGACATGGGAATTGGTAGAGTTGCCTGAAGGAAAAAATTGGGTGTAAAAGGGTTTTCACTGTAAAATACAAGACAGATGGTATTGTTGAAAAGTATAAAGCCAAGTTGGTGGCTAAGGGCTACACTCAAACTTATGGAGTGGATTATCAGGAAATTTTTGCTCTAATTGCCAAGATGAATACAGTTAGGATTTTGTTATCATTGACCGCAAATTACAATTGGCAGCATCAACAATTTAATGTAAGAATGCTTTTCTACATGGAGATTTAGAAGAGGAAATATATAAGAAGGTTCCACCGGGATTTGGAGGTCATCTAGAAGCAAACAAAGTATGCAAGCTGAAAAAGGCTTTATCTGACCTTAAACAATTTCTTAGGGCTTGGTTCAGGAGATTTGCCAAAGTGATGCCAGTAATGAGATATAAGCAGAGTCAAAGAAATCACACATCGTTTATTAAGCACTCTGATTCAATGAGAGTCACAGTTCTATTAGTATATGTTGATGATATAATTGTAACCGAAGATGATGAAAAAGAGAGAGAATCTCTAAAACAGTGTTTGGCTAGAGAATTTGAGATAAAAGAGCTGGGGAGATTGAAGTACTTCCTAGGAATTGAAGTAGATCACTCACGGCATGATATTTTCATCTCATAATAGAAATATGTGATGGATCTTTTGAAGGAAACTGGGAAGCTCGCATGTAAATCTGCAAATACCGTTATCATAAACTTGGAGAAGCTGATGAAGATGTTGCTGTAGATAGAGAGATGTACCAAAAATTAGTTGAAAGACTCATTTATCTCTCACATACTAGACCTGATATATGCTATGGGTGTGATAAGTCAATTTATGCATAGTCCTAAAAAAGTGCACCTATAGGCTGTCTAACGTGTATTGCACTATTTGAAGGCCAATCTTGGGAGAGGTATCGTATTCAAAAGAAATTCAGGGCTAGCTTTAAAGGCATATACAGATGCTGATTATGCAGGTTCAGTAACTGATAAAAGATCCACCTAAGGTTACTCCACTTTCCTAGGTGGTAATCTTGTGACTTAGAGTAAACAACAGAATGTGGTAGAAAGATCAAGTGCTGAAGCAGAGTTCAAAGCAATGGCTCAAGGAATTTGTGAACTACTATGATTAGAGATTATCCTAGAAGACTTGAAGATCAAGTGGGATGGATCAATAAGACTCTACTGTAGAAACAAGTCTGGAATAAGCATTGCATACAATCCTATACAACATGACAGAATAAAACACATTGAAGTAGATCGGCATTTCATAAAGGGAAACTAGACAGTGGGTTGATTTGTACACCGCATGTATCAACCGAGGATCAACTTGCAAATGTGTTAACTAAAGGTTTCAGCAATGCAACATTTCAAAAAATTATTTCCCAGCTGGGAATGGAAAACACCTATTTATCAGCTTTAGGGAGAGTGTGGAAAAACAGTTATTTACAGCTGATTGTAATCTGTATATTTATATTTGTATCTCTAGAATTAAATATTTGTATTCCTAGAATTAAGGACAAAAAATTAAGATAAACAATCCCTCAATTACAGGATAAGTAGGAAGATTTAGTTTCCTAATTTACCCACTAGTTACTTGTATAGAAACCTAAGGTGCTTGTATAATTCTTTATGAGTAGTTTTTCAATATGCATTCAATTTTACTCTTAGTTTTCACACAGTTTTATTTCTTAGTTTTTCCACACTTCTAATAACCAAATATTCATATGAAAAAAGAAACTCAACTAGCCAAGAACAACCCTAGTACCTTGCAGAAAATTGAGAAACGCAGCAGTAATGAAAATAGTCAACACACTTCTGAACACATCTTCATCAAAAAAGCCAAGAAGAGATCCAGAATTCCATGCAACAATTAGCATAGCCTGAATACCACAATATAATGATGGAGTAAATTCTTTCAGAAAAATAGTAAGAAACAAAAAGTGCATGCAGAAAGGCACCTGAAAAGCCATTATAAAGAATATCCACATTCGGTCAAAACTTCTGTAAAGGTGCCAAAATGTTCGAGCTTCAACAAAATTAGTTTTAGGCTTTCTCTTCCCAACAGTGACTTCATTATGTCTCTATAAGCAGATAAAGAACATCAATTTAGATCTTTGGAAAGATGAAAGAGCTAAATTCAATAATAGATGGCAAGTGTTGAATGTGAAAACCCAAAGGGGTAACCTGAATAGACAATTATGTTCAAGGTTCCATAAGCAAGACAAAAAGAATTATGCAGTCACAGGAATCTTAAGTTTCTTGGGGGAAGCAGCGCACAATTCTTTTTTTTTTTTTTTGTGGGGGGGGGGGGGGGAGGGGGAGGAGCAATGGGGGAATGGCCATACCAAATCATTCAAATCTTAAGTTCTCAAAAAGAATATTACAAGATTAAACCAAAATATAAGGGTGATACTATCATGAATTAAGGGTGTGCGTTCTTTTCTGACTTTTATGTCACTACCAATTTTAGTTTTAAGTAAATTCTATGAATTATGTATCTTGGTTATCTGGACAAGTCTAGTTTTCAAGGTCCTTACATTTACTGTGCATACTGGTAGTCTTTGAATTAATAGTATTATAAGTTGATGATTTCTCTCTCTCTCCCTCATTGTTTTGGGAATTTTATTTTTACCACCGCCTCCAGTATCTTCACAACCAAAGACTTGAATCAATACACTGCAAACCCACGCTTCACTTTTTGATTGCAGTCTCAGAATCTCAGAAATTAATCTTGTGATTTCTCGCCATACTTGCCATCAAAACTCATTAATGTTAATTCTAAATCCCTTATTCTCATAAAATCCAAGCCAACAACTTCAAGCTGTATAGGCAGATTTGTCATACATATTCCAAGAGTCTAATACAACAATTTCTTGACCTCTACATGAAAATAAATAAATAAACCCCTTAAAAAGTGATCCAAAGAGTAGCTAAACCTGATTCACTATAAGTAGCAGCAAGAGTTTCCAATAAGCGACGCATACAATTTTTTATCCTATATCAGCAAAGGTGGCAGACATACCTTCTAAAAGACAACAGGAATTTTTGGGGGGTAGTTAAGGGGAAAAGAGACAAAAGAACTTAATGCTAGGAATCGCATGTACTATTTATAAAATTTTTGTAAATGTTTTGATTCATTTTGCCCGCCTGTCAAAGCTCCCAAGCACAAGGCACAATAGGAGACCGAATGGACATGACCCAAAGCATTCTCAATAAATAAGGCAATTCTAGCTCAAAAAAACAAATAAATAAACATGGCATCTGTTACTAAGAATAATGAAGTCCAGAATTTGTTTGCCTTCAGCTAAATAATTATGAGAACAGAGACAGTCATTCCAATAGCCTCCTTTAACCTAATATCAAACACCTGTAGCACATTTTCTGTTGATTGCCAAATATATATATATATATATATATGTAGCACACTTGCTGAACCCAGAAATAAAGGAGATTTCAAAAGAAAAAGGCACTAATGTTTGAGTGTTCAATGTTAGGGTTGCAAAAGAAGCAAAATAGGTAAAGCAAAATAATAAAAGAGAAAGTAGGTAATTTGTCTGTCTCAAGGATTATCTCTTTCTCTTTACCATATGTCCCCTTCATTTATTTATATGTCTTCCTTCTGGTCTTATTCCTGCTCAGTATTTCTAATTTGAGCAAACTAAGTACATCATTTCAATTATAAGATAATTGTTAAACCCAGTAGCATTTGTTTTATTGAAAAGAAAAAGATAAAAATATATATATTATAGAGGAAAAAGAATATCGATGCTCTAACCAAATCTTTTAACAAAGATTGCCAAAAAGATTTGCAAATACGTGCCTCATTTGCAGGTAGCGGTTCATCTGAATGCACAAAAAAATCTGATTTCAAGTCCATTGGCCACTTCAACTGAAAACACTTCCCAGACCTAGAAAAGTGAAGGCTTTATCTATTTATCCGACTTTATTTAGAAAACATCCTTCACTATCTAAGAAACTCACCAAAAGTACTCATTTAGGTCATCATAGTTTCTCCATTTTGAGTGGCTTGCCTTGCCTCCTTTGTTTCTCTTGACTTCCTTTAGTTAAGTAAAATCAACTTTCAGCTAGAAAACTGTAAATAAAGAGAGCAGAAAAGTATGGAGGTATGACAAAATAATAATTACCTTTAGGAGGACTGCATAGATAGGGGATATAACATCCCTTAAAAATGATTCATCATCTGGTACAGTTTGATATGTCTCCCCACTCACACGATATACATTGCCAAATAGAACTCCGTAAACCTCATTTGCCATCTTATACAATGAGAAAAGAAGATAGATTAAAACTATCCAGAAGCTTTAAAGCATGCACAATAGAGGAGGAGAAAATTAGAAATGTAATTCAGGAAGCTTCCCTTAGTGGAAGAAGCTAACCACATATCAAGCATGAGGACAATTCATCATAATCATATCAGTATGATACATTGTTTTTGTTAATAATAAAGATGTCCAATGTTGATTGTCAGACTCAATTGTTGCTTCACCAATTAAACAAGATCCAAGATTGTTCTAACAAGGAAAAATGACAGGAAAAAGGTGGAAGTATAAAATATTTTGCTTAACAGTTATATAATTAGTAAATATTAAATAATTGATTAGGTCATTAAAAGGATCCGACCTAACAACAATTGATAACAAGTGTAAAGGTTCAAGTCCCAACCTGAATCTAAAGCCACAACAAACCCCAAAACTTAACCAATATACCACTTAACACTTCCCCTTATGTTGGGCAAATACTAACAATTGAAACGAAAAGGCTTAGCACTGACAATAAATGAGGTAAGAAACAACAAATAGAAAATCACAACCAGAACAAAAAACAACTTGAGCCCTAATACCTCATTAAACTTTAAAGACACCCAACCTAGAACCAATTGGCTATAAGTGCAAAGCCAAACTTTAATGTCAAATAGTAGTTTCTGGAAACATCATTCATTTGATCGGAGCAAATTCCTTTGTGCACTATTCCGCACTCTGTGAATCACTTTTTGTCTTCCATAATTAATCTAATCAGGTGAGTGCCATAATTATAAGCTAAAAATTTTCACTAGAATGGATGCATCAGTGTTCATTTCCATTTTCCTTAAAAGTGGTTAGCAGCAGTTATTTGGCAACCAAAATTGCTGATTAACTATGCTAATTTAACAATACATCATTTTGTTCACCCTACAACAAGGATGATTTATGTGAAAACTAATTAGATAAAAATACCAACTTTCTAAATTTTATCTTGTTATAGTTGCCCCTAGAAATTTAGGTCAAACTGTTGACTCATCTTTATAAAATGGAAACTATAAAGATTAGACCTGGTTTATTGAGACTTTGGGTTTGGAGGGGATTAATAGACATTACTGTGGGAAAACACTTAGTTACAGCTAGTTGTAATTTTGTAATCTGTATATTTATATTTGTATCCTTAGAATTAAGGACAAAAAATTAGGATAGACAATCCCTCAATTATAGGATCAATTTTAGAAAGATTTAGTTTCTTAGTTTACCCTCTAATTAGTTGTATATAAACCTAAGGTACTTGTATAATTCTTAAGAGATGTTTTTCAATATATATTCAGCTTTACTCTTAGATTTTCACACAATTTTATTTTTTAGTTTTTTCATATGGTATCATAACTTTAGGCTTTTCCTAGGAAGCAAAATTTTCAGCCTTCATCACTGACTTCTATTTTGGGCCTTCATTGCCAAACCCTATTAAGGACTTCATAGCCATCTTATTTTTCCCTTCTTTAACCTTCATTACTAAGAGTCATTTCTAGTTATATCTTATTTGTTAAGACTTGTTTCAGTTTAAAGAAAGATAAAAATGTCAAAGATAACAAAATCTGTTATTGCTAACACTCGATTTAAGGAAGTATCAACTTGTAAAATCACCGAAATACTACAGAAATCTCAGGAACAAGGTGAGTTGGACAGAGAAAAGATTGAGAAATTGAGAAGCCTATTGAAAACCTTGAAAAGCCTACTAGGTATGTTCCTTGGGTAAGGTCTCTAGTTCAATTCTGATTCTCATGGATCAAATGTCTTGGTTAAGCCTGAGTTCATTGACTCAAGAGTCACAGACCATATAACACATTCCTCACAGAAGTTTAGCACATCTACCTTATGTCCTGGTCATAAGAAAATTGTTGTTGCAGAGGGTTCACTTACTACAATGGTGGGATTAAGAGATGTTCAAAGTAATCCGTCGTTTATTCTTTAAAATGTTCATGTTCCATAATTGTCTACTAATCTGATATCTATACAAAAACTTACTAGAGACATGAACTGCAAAGTGACTTTTTATCCCTCCTATTGTGAATTTCAAGATCAAAGTTCAAGGAAAAGGATTGGACTTGCTAAGAAAAAGGATGGTCTATATTATCTTGAGATGTCAAACAACATAAGTAATATCAAAATTAATTTACCTTTGTCATTTATTTCTGAAAAATCTCCCAATAAAAACAATTTGGCTTTATCAATTTCGTCTTGGACAACCTTCTTTTGGAACTTTGAAAAACATGTTTCCTTTTTGTTCAAAGGATTAAATGTTGAAAATTTTCATTGTAATGTTTGTGAACTTACAAAGCATAGACGCATGTCTTTTCCAATTAGTAACAAAAGAAGTTCTACTCCTTTTTACTTGATTCATAACGACATATGGGATCCCTCTACAATTCCTAATATTTCTGGTGGAAGGTAATTTGTTTCTTTCGTAAATGATTGTACTAGAGTCTCTTGGATATTTTTACTCAAATCCAAATTAGATGTGAATAGTGTGTTTTTAAGCTTCCAAAACATGATTCAAAATCAATTTGGAATGAAAATCAAGAGATTTAGGTCTAATAATGCAAGAAACTATTTCAACCAGAGTTTATCTACCTATTTCCCAAAAAAAAGGATTATCCATGAGTCATCTTGCGTTAATACTCCACAGCAGAATGGAGTGGCAAAGAGGAAAAACAGTCATTTACTAGTCACAACCTGAGCCTTACTTTTTCAAGCAAACGTACCCAAATCCTACTGGGGGAAGCTATTTTCACTACCACACATTATAAATAGGTTACCTTTAAGGGTTTTGGGATTTAAAACTCCTATGGAATGACTCTCACAATTCTATCCCAACTTCAATACCACAAACAACCTCACACCTAGGATATTTGGTTGTACATCATTTGTTCATATTTACAGTCATAATATGGGGAAGTTAGATCCTAGAGCAGTTAAGTGTATTTTTGTGGGGTATTCATCATCTTAGAAAGGGTATAACCATTATCTTTCTCTTACCAAAAAATTCTATATGACTGTAGATATCATTTTTGAAGAAAGTACATCATTTTTTACTCAACCTTATCTTCAGGGGGAGACTTCATTCATGGAAGATAAGGATAAAGACTTCTTTTGCTTGACTTGTCCTCCTCCCCAAATTTTCACCCATTAATTCTCATGAGTCTAAACCTATTTCTTCTGAGTCTAAGTCAAACTTTGAATTTGAGTCTAAACCCATTCCAAACACAGAAGCTATGATAAAGGATAATATTGTTCTTGACTCTATATAGGAATTACAAGTGTACTCAAGAAGGAAAGTTCCAGCTCCTAAACCGGTGCAAATCCAAGAACCTAATCATAACTCTGGAAATGAGGTAACTACAATCTCTAACTGTATTTCTCAAAATAATCATGAATCTCCTAAAACTAAAACTAGTGATTATAAACTGCCTATTGCCATTAGGAAAGGAACCAGAGAATGTACTAAGCATCCACTACACCCAATCTCTAATTTTGTGTCATTTGAAAAATTCTCACCATCCCACAAAATTTTCTTGTGAGCCTAAATACTATTTCTATTCCAACTACATTATCTGAGGCATTATCTAGAGAGAAATGGAGGCAAGCCATAAAAATAAAAATGGAGGCCTTAGAGAAAAATAAGACATGGGAACTAATAGAGTTGCCTAAAGGAAAAAAATCCAATTGGGTATAAATGGGTTTTCACTGTAAAATACAAGGCGGATGGTACTGTTGAAAGGTATAAGGCCAGGTTGGTGACTAAGGGCTATACTCAAACTTATGAAGTGGATTATCAAGAAACTTTTGCTCTAGTTGCCAAGATAAATACAGTTAGGATTTTGTTATCCTTGGCTGCAAATTACAATTGGCAGCTTTAACAATTTGATGTAAATAATGCTTTTCTACATGGTGATTTGGAATAAGATATATATACATATATATATGAAAGTTCTATCGGGATTTGGAGGTCACCTAGAAGCAAACAAAGTATGCAAGCTGAAAAAGGCTTTATATAGCCTTAAACAATCTCCTAGGACTTGGTTCGAGAGATTTGCCAAAGTGATGCTAGCAATGAGATATAAGCAGAGTCAAGGAGATCACACATTGTTTATCAAGAACTCAAATTCAAGAAGAGTCCCAATTTGTATTAGTGTATGTTGATATAATTGTAACCGGAGATGATGAAAAAGAGAGAGAATCTCTAAAATAGTGTTTAGCTAGAGAATTTGAGATAAAGAGTTAGGGAGATTGAAGTACTTCCTAGGAATTGAAGTAGCTCACTCACGATATGATATTTTCATCTAACAATAGAAATATGTGATGGATCTTTTGAAGGAAACTAGGAAGCTAGCATGTAAACCTACAAATACCCCTATAGATCCTAATCATAAACATGGAAAAGCTAATGAAGATGTTGCTGTAGATAGAGAGATGTACCAGAGATTAGTTGGAAGACTCATTTATCTCTCACATACTAGGCCTCATATAGCATATGCTTTGAGTGTGTTAAGTCAGTTTGTGCATAGTCCTAAAGAAGTGCATCTACAAGCTGTCTACCATGTATTACACTATTTAAAGGCCAATACTGGGAGAGGTATCCTATTCAAAAGAAATTCAAGGCTAGTTATAGAGGCATATACAAATGCTAATTATGCAAGTTCAATAATTGATAGAAGATTCACCTTAGGCTACTGCACTTTCTTATGTGGTAATTTTATGACTTGGAGGAGTAAAAAACAAAATGTGGTGGCAAGATCAAGTGATGAAGCAAAGTTTAGAACAATAGCTCAAGGAATTTATGAACTGCTATGATTAAAAATTATCCTAGAAGACTTGAAGATCAAGTGGGATGGACCAATGAGACTCTATTGTGATAACAAGTCTGCAATAAGCATTGCACACAATCCTATGCAACGTGACGAAACAAAACACATTAAAGTAGATTGACACTTCATAAAGGAGAAACTAGACAGTAGGTTGATTTGTACACCATATATATCAACCAAGCATCAACTTACAGATTTGTTGACTAAAAGTCTCAACAATGCAACATTTTAGGAAATTATTTCGAAGCTAGGAATGGAAAACACCTATTCACCAGTTTAAGGGAGAGTGTGGGAAAACACTTAGTTTCAGCTGGTTGTAATCTTGTAATCCATGTATTTATATTTGTATCCCTAGAATTAAGGACAGAAAATTAAGATAGACAATCCCTCAATTATAGGATCAATTTTAGGAAGATTTAGTTTCCTAGTTTACCCTCTAATTAGTTGTATATAAACCTAAGGTGCTTGTATAATTCTTAAGAGAAGTTTTTCAATATACATTCAGTTTTAATCTTAGTTTTCCACACTGTTTTATTTTTTAGTTTTTTCACAATTACTTATATACTAGTCAGTTAGATTTTGCTCTTCCAGATTACTGTTTACTACTTAACAAACCAACACAGTTACTCCATCCTTCTTATTAGCTCCCCACACAGTCTCTGAATTTTACAATTAATGATGCATAGGCCACCATCAACTTAATTAGTCGGACAGATGAATAAAAATGACATGTATAAAATTAATTATTAATTATAGGGTTTGATAAATTAATGCTACCAATCCTATTCCAAGAAGAAGTTCGCAAGAACTTAAAGATGAGCAACAATAAGAATACAATGATTCTTAATGAAGACAAATTGACAAGATCAAAAAAAAAAAAAGACATCTAGTTTGGGTCACATGTAAGAGAGAAAATGTTATAGGTATAAATGAAAAACTAGCAACATCTACTTATAATAAATTTTAACATGGGCAATGCTTCATTAAAATGTAAAGAAAAAAACTTACATTATGGAATATGTAGCTAATGCATTCAGGCATGAATCGGATATTTGAAGCTTCACCCCAGATAAGGAGATAAAGAGAAATATAGATAAGCTCCAGCTGTTGTCTATCACAATTTCGTTGAAACCTGCAAAGTAAACAATAAAATATGCACCCTATGTAAGGTGTTCAACTCGTGCTATAAGAGATGAAAATGGTTTCAGTTTTGCTTATTACAGTTACGTAGTTGATGATCTGCAATAACAATTTGACTTACCTCAAGTGTGTCTTACAACGCAAATAGTTGCACCATGAACGATAATTCTTGAAAATCCTATCCATCAACCTTTGTATAGTGTTATCATTCAGCTGTAGTAAACTTCTAGTCAGTTTTGAACAAATGATAACACAAAGATGAAACTGAAGTCTGATACTAAAGTAGAAAAGTCAAATAAGCATAAAGAATCTCAAGGGAATAAGATTTACCGCAATGTAATCTTCAAATTTCTCTTTCTTCCTAACATCAATATTGGCAAGCAATAGTATCAAGTGCTCTCTTTGATTTGCTACATTTCCTTTCTTCAAATTCCAAAATAAAAATTATAAATGATATTAGTCAGAGAAACTGATTTTTCATGATTATAGCTAAGCAACTTGAAAGAAAGAATCTTTACTAAAATTTATTTCAACTTCTGGAGCCAACCAGATACATGGAGTTGGATGCATAAAACTAATTGAAGTATAGTATCTTGGTACATTCCTAACTATGATTATTAGAAGTTTGTTAAAAAATTTTGTAACTGATCAGAGAAGGCTTAAGAAATATTCTAGCTTTAGAAAAAATAGGTATGTTCTGCAGATATATTGTATAGATAGAGTAAATTATACAGGAAAAGTTGTTCAAATCTCAAGAATTTTTTGGTTAAGCACATAAAATGGGCCAAACTCTACAACAAAAAGGTTCAAGGCCATATTAGTTTTCTTAAAATCGATTGTGAAAGAATTTATATAAGATGCCATGGCTTAAAAAAAATAAAAGAAATGTAAGCTCATTCTTTCACAGGTTTACTGGACTGTTTATCAAAGGGGAAAAATGAAATCTAGGTGCAAATTGTTCAGGAAGTTTGGGCCATTCACTATTATAGTTTCTAGTTTGCATGGAATCTTGTGATTTAGTCATCTCATTATCCATGTCTTAGACTATGTCTTAGCTACATAAAGTTTTGACTGATTAGATAAGTTAGTTATAATCTTAAAATAATTAGATAAGTTAGTTGTAATCTTATATTAGGATTTAATCCTTTTAATAAGATAAGCTAGTTGTAATCTTAGATTAGGATTTAATTTACAAGTACAAGAGAAGTTATAATCAAAATCAAGTATTACATCCATATATAAGAAATCACTGAATAATCAACCAACAAACTAAAACATAACTAGACAAATCCAACAAAAAGTTGAACTGACCCAACACATAGTGGGACTTGAACCTACGACCTCAGGGTTAAGAAATATTATAGCTTTAGAAATACTAGGATATATCCTACCATTATATTCTATTGATAGACTAAACTATACAGGAAAAGTTGTTCAAATCTCAAAAAATTTGTTCGATAAGCACATAAAAATGGACCAAACTTGACAACAAAAAGGTTCAGGGCCTTATTAGTTTTCTTAAAATCCTTTGAGATAGAATTTATATAAGATGCCATGGCTTAAAAAAAATAAAAAATGAAAACTCTTTCCTTCCACAAGTTAAGTTTCCATGATTACCAATATTTTACTGGAAGGTTTATCAAAGGGAAAAAACCAAGGTGCAAATTTTTCAGGAAGTTTGGACCATTCACTGTTGTAGTTTCTAATTTTTGTGGAATTATGTTACTTAGTCATCTCATTATCCTTGACTTCGAGTAAAGTCTTAGCTGCATAAAGCTCTGAATGATTAGATAAGTTGTAGCATTAGAACAGGTAGATAAGTTACTTGTAATCTTAGATTAGGATTAAATCCTATTAAGCTGATAAGCTAGTTTTAACTTTAGATTAAAATTTGATCAAGATAATAAGCTACAACTTACTTAAACAGAATTAATTCAAGCTTTTCATTCACTCAAATCATCTGTTCTTCCAGTTTTTGTTCCCCTAATCTCATAATTATAACTACTTTCAATCACTTCATAAAGCTTGATACTTTTCATCTTGATCAGAAAAAGTTTTAAACAAATGAAAAATAAAATCTGAAGTATGTATGGCCTGTTGGAAATAGCAAGTCCTCCTTGGGAGATCCAAATTGAAGTTTGATTCTTGTTAGACATAAAAGGAGTATAGGTTCAACATACACAGACAGCTTTACAAATGGCCAAGAACCAACGGCACATAAAGTTGTGAAAGATAAGTGCAATATAATTAGTAATTCAAGGTATTACCTGAAATCCAAAGAGGAAAGAAAGCCAATCAAGTATATCATTTACTTGTTTAACCCTCTCTTGAGGTTTATCATTAGAAGCATTGGATGGCATATGAACCCAGGGCATAGGGAGACCTTCCACATTTCGTATAGAATGAAGTACTGCTTTAATCTGCAGTTTGTGGGAGAACATAGACATGGTGAAATTAGACAATAAAAAGACTATCCAAATAAGCAAGTAACATAAATTTATATATTATGCACATATACAACCTCAGGAAGTTCCATAATAGCTGGTTTAACCCCAACAGCATATAGTGGAAGAATGTTATAGTGTTCAAATTGCTCCTTTTTCTTCTCAACTTCTTTAGCATATCTCTCAGTCTGGAATAACCAAATAACTTAAAAGTAAACCTTTTGAGTATATTTGGCATGAAACATGCCCTTCAAAGCTTTGTACATGAACACCAAGAATATACAAATCAAACCTCCTCGTCAACTCTCACAGCAGGCACCACTGTCCTCAGCACATCATACAACACTGAAGCAATCTGAATAATTTTAGCCATCTCCTCCCTTCAAGAGCAAGCAAAAATCAAAAGACTAATACAAAATGAATAACATGCCTAGCTAAAACAACATTTTGAAGTGAAATAAAGATCTCACGGTTTCTTTGTATATTGGCCCTCTGCAATATTTTTCAAATAAAACTGCTGATAATACAACTGAATTTCTCTTGGATCGTTTTTCGCAAGTTTAGGTACTGTCTCTTCTTCCTCCTGAAAGACAGAAAATTTTATTTGCTCTTAATTTTGGAACTTTTGAAATAGAAAAAGATCTTAGTCTATATAATGAACTATAAAATTTCTAAAGAATATGTCCCTAAGGGACGCCCAACAGTTAGAGCATAAGACCCCATCTTGGAAGTCTCGAGTTTGAATCTCGGGATAGGTGTGATGGGATTATGGAATGGATGGGGGCTACCTGCCATTGTGTAGCCCAATATCACATGTACCAAAAAGAAATCTAAAGAATATATCATGAAATCTAGCCAATAAATTCATGAACTTTGCTGAGAAAGCAAACCAATAACTAGTAGAAGTAAAGAAAGCAATGTCATAATAATGTTATGATTTGAAACCAATGATGAAGTAAAAATTATCCCTAAATTTCTATTAAGAGTTATATGGAGAAATGGTCAAAGCTGAGAAATGATATAGACTCCTGTACCCAAAAAAATGAGAAATGATATAGAGTCATAAGACATCCCCAAAAAAGTTCCCCAAGAAAGTGATGCAAATCTTATGAATGGAAGACTCAACCCCATATCATTTCCTTTCCTCACTATGAAACAAGTCATACTTTGATTATATCACGTATCCTCATTGGTGATGCAGAGAAGAAAAGATAGAAGAAATCGGGAGAAACATCAAAGTTCAGTAGCAACATATATAATCAGGGAGATTGTCTCCTCAACTTGCTCCTTAATTGCTAGAGCATTTAGATAAAAGGTGTATTATTATTATTATTATTATTATTATTATTATTATTATTATTATTATTATTATTATTATTATTATTGCTACAGCATGAGGGGTTACAGAACAACTGTATTAACAAAATGCTTAAAATTATCAAAGCAACAAATAAGTGTTAAAGTGTACCCTCTCAAGTCTATGCAACAGATAAGTCTTAAACTGGCGAACACCACGTCCACTCGAAGTTGGATCCATTTTGTGAGCCTTCTCAAATGCATGAAAACGGCCTAATTGAACAAAAACATATACAAGGATCACAATAATAAACATGTACTTCTTGTTCTCAGTGTATCAATTGTAAATCCAAAATGCATATGAAAATAAAAAAAAAAATTTTAAAAAAAAAAAAAGAAGAAGCGAAAGGGAATGAATTACAGAGATAAGCGACTCTTGGGTTATCCCATTCGATTTCATTGGCGGCACGTAGAATAGGGGCAATGGAAGCCAAGCTGGAAGGGACCAGCTCACTATCCGCTGTGCTGTTATCCTCATTGGGAATATCCACCATCATAGTTTGAGCCCTAGTCATCCTCCTTGAAGGCGCCCGAGGCAGATGGCTCTTCGTCCCGCTCGAGCTCGCCATGAACCCGATCCACTAACTTCTTCTTCTTCACTAACAACGTTGGGTTTTCTGGGCTTTTTTCCTTTGGTTTTTTGGGTAGCACCAGCAACTGCAGTAGGAATAGCAACAAAGGAAACCAAATTTGCTATCATCATTTGTTTTTCTTTGTTTTAATACCCTTTTATCTATGGGTGGAAAAGAGATGCTTTGAGTGAAGGGTGGGGCAAAGGCAAAGGCAAGAAGTTGCCCTGAGAAGAAGAAAAGAATGGTGATGACAAAGTTCAAGATAATAAAATTTTATTTGTTAGTGCTTTTGCTTTTTGGTGTCTTTAATTCTTTCTTTTGTTTTTAACAAATGGTGGACTAGATTTCTTTTTCTTTTTGTTTGGGAAACAAGAGCACAGCACAAAGCAGTAAGCAGACTAGTGTTTGGAACTGGAGTTTGAGAGAGATTGCACTTTGGAGTTAGAAGGACAAAACTACTCATACCTGATTGCTGGACACACAAAAGACTTTGAATGTGCCCAAAGAAAAATATAGGACTTTATTCCTACCTCTGAAATAAAAAATTCAAAGTCATTTTTCTTTTTAGATAAGAGATTTCAAATACAAAAATCTTAAAAATTTCAATGCCATATGAAGTAAATATTATAAGTCTGATTTGCTTGAAGACAGAGTAATGAATCTTGCATCTAAAGTTGAATTGGCCAATGAAGTAATCAAATTTATACGATGTTTTATATATAAATTATGTATTTTTGTTGGTATAAACATAAAATATATAAAAATATTTTTTCTTTAAATTAATATAAAAATTTTATAAAATTTTAAATTATATTATTTTTATTTTTTTATATGATTTTTATTCGATCTTAATGTATGATAATTTAGATGTAAAGTGACAAATCAAAAAATTGGATTATGGATTAGATTAAATTTTCTTGTCGTTAAAAGCAATTTTTATTTTGAATTTGAACAAATTATGACTGTTGTTAATTAAAGCAGCTAACTTCTACTGTGATGAGCTAAATGAAGGTGGTAGACAATCCTATATTGATAGTCAAAGAAGCGAAGCTCAACAATAATCTCAGGGACCTTCCTTGTATATTTGTGTATTTAAGGTGCTCTTGCTCTCAATCCCACCATGATTCTCAACTTTTTTCAGCCTGAATACTAATTCCTCCGCAAATTCCCATGCGCCGCTTCCAATTAGTCCAATCATCTGCCGTCTTTTGCCAGTTAAAACCTGAGCAAATAACCCAACCAAGAACCACAAAGAAACAAAGAACTGGACTATGATATGATTATTGATAATTTAGTACGTGATGTATTTTATATTGAATAAAAAATTTTAATTATTAATGAATAAAATTAATTTTTATATTATTTTTATTTTTATTTTAAATAATTATATTTAAACATAAATAATTATTATATAATAAATAATCATAATTGTTTGAATATAAATAAATTATTACTTATAAAGTTTATAATTATATAAAAAATCATAACCATTTAAATAAAAGTTTATAGTTGTTCATTTATTATAAATAATTTTTTTAGTATAACTAATTTCATTATTTTCACTTGAAGCGTTTTGAGATTTTATTGTATCCTAAAAATATAATTATTTTTAAGAAAATTTTTTTCACACCTAAAAATCAAAAATTTTTTCTATTATTTCTATTTTCTTATTTATTTTTTTCTAACAATTTAAAGGCAATTATGCAATTCAAATTTTGCATGAAGAAGATATAAGCAAAATAAATTAGCAAAGTTGACAAAATCGACTTTTGAAATAAGCATGGAAAGCATCAATTATCCAAATAGTTTCTTGGTGAAATAAAATACAAGATCAATTTCTTATCATTATCTTTCTTGTTTTTATATTATACTAAAAGAATTGATGATTAATAATTCATAAGAGACTGTGAATCTCATTGAATTTTACTTTTTTTATTGATTATTCTTTTGATTTTTTAATTCTAAATTAAATTATTTAATTTATGATTCATGATTTTATGGTATGTTATATGTGGATTTTCTTAATCATATTCATAGCATTGAATGGTCATGAGCATAAAATAGAGATGAAGAACTTGCTAGCTTTGGTTATGAATCATTTATAGCCTTATTATATTTTGTCAATCATTGGATTTCATTGTATTTTTAATATTTATTGCCAGTAACTCTTTTACATACCAATTAATCAATTAGTGAAGGTGAATAAGACCTTAAGAAAAGCGACACCGTTACATGCCTTAAAGTATTTCTTCAATTTCTCATGATTTTTCTAAACCTTAAGTTCTAACAATTTTAAAGTTTATTTTCACAAGTTTATGAGAAATTTTGATTAAAAGCTATTGATAAAAGCAAAAGATAGAATTATGATTTATAATCGAAATCTAATTAATCAAGATGAGAGGCGTGGCTTGAATATGGAATGGGAATGAATTTTTCATCAACTTAAGCCTCCCATTATTCATCTTTCTTTGCAAGCCAAGGAAAGAAAAGTTTATTGCTATATAAACTAGGTAGGTCATTTATGATTCTATATCACTGGGAAAAGAAATTAGAAATTTAAAAAAAAAAAGGAAAAGTCTAAGAGATTAACACAAAACAATAATTTTATACTCACAAAGAAATTATTATATGATAAATTGTTATAACTATTTGAATATAAATAAATTATTATTTATAAAGTTCATAATTATATAAAAACCATAATCATTTGAATAGAAGTTTATATATGTTCATTCATTATAAATAAATTTTTCAATATAATCATTTTTATTATTTCTACTTGAAGAGTTTTGAGACTTTATTATATCTTAAAGGCATAATTACGTTTAAGAAAGTGTTTTTCATACCTTAAAGCTAAAATTCTTTTCTATTATTTCTATTCGCTTATTTATTTTTTTCTAACAATTTAAAGGCAATTATGCAATTCATATTTTACATGAAGAAGATACAAGCAAAATAAATTGGCAAAGTTGACAAAATCGATTTTTGAAATAAGCATGGAAGCATCAATTATCCAAATAGTTTCTTGGTGAAATAAAATACAAGATAAGTTTCTTATTATTATCTTTCTAGTTTTTCATATTATACTAAAAGAATTGATGATTAATAATTCATAAGAGACTGTGAATCTCATTGAATTTTACTTTCTTTATTGACTATTCTTTCAATCTTTTGATTCTGAATTAAATTATTTAATTTATGATTCATGATTTTATGGTATGTTATATGTGGATTTTCTTAATCATATTCATAGCATTGAATAGTCATGAGCATAAAATAGAGATGGAGCACTTGCTAGCTTTGGTTATGAATCATTTACAGCCTTATTATATTTTGTCAATCATTGGACTTCATTGTATTTTTAAGATTTATTGTCAGTAACTCTTTTACATACCAATTAATCAAATAGTGAAGGCAAATAAGACCTTAAAAAAAGTGGCACTGTTACATGCCTTGAAGTATTTCTTCAATTTCTCATGATTTTTCTATACCCTAAGTTCTAACAATTTTAAAGTTTTGTTTTCACAATTTTATAAGAAATTTTGATTAAAAACTATTGATAAAAGCAAAGTATAGAATTATGATTTATAATCAAAATTTAATTAATCAAGATGAGAGGCATGGCTTGAATATGGTATGGGAATGAATTTTTCATCAACTTAAGCCTCCTATTGTTCATCTTTTTTTACAAGCCAAGGAAAGAAAAGTTTATTTCTATATAAACTAGATATGTCATTTATGATTCTATATCACTGGGAAAAAATTAGAAATTAAAAAAAGAAACAGTATCAGAGATTAACACAAAACAATAATTGTATACCCACGGTTGGACAATACAGTGGTTTATAAAATTAAGTTGTGTGAATCACAAAGAAAAAGTTTAAGGTACAACTTAATTTGTGTTTGATGGCCAATACAAGTAAGACAAATAAACTCATATATTTGGAATATAAATGCTCCTATTGTATAACTATGATTGATGAAAATGGCTTACAAAAGGTAGAAAATAAAATAGATGCTTGTTTAAAAAATATATATCAAACTATTATAACCATGAGGTTTATAAAGGTCTAGTTTTTCAAATATTATTCCCATTGATGATAGCATTTATAAATTGTTTGAATTTATAATGTAATAAGTTAATACAAGATTATTACATGCAATGAATATATAATTTCATGAAGAATTGTGGCTGGTGGTAATGTAAAATACATTAAGTATGTACATTTATGGCATCCCTATATTTTGTAAATTTTATGTTAGTATCACTAACTAAATTTTGGCCAACAATTTGGACTAATTAGATGATCAATTAAAAGAAAAGGCATGTTATTAAAAATATTGAAGCATTTGTCGGTTTCTAGCATTTTGAAAAATGCTAATCAATATCTAATTAGCTATGTTTATAAATTAAAAAAGAATATGCAAATTCAATATTCCAAAGGTACTAGTACATACATGTGTTTAATTTCATTTAGTGATGGCATGAAGAACATTGGTATAGTTTGTCATATATTACGAAAATAAAATATATGGGATGAAATTTTCTTTCTTACACATATAAGAAAGATATGGACTATGGAGATAAAATGCCATCATCTAATTAATACATTATTGGTTAAAAACAATGAAGACATTTTACTTCTTGTAACCCAAAAAATGGCCTTTTACAGGCTATTAAAATGAATAGTACATAAGTTTTCATGGTTTTTAATAGTTTCATGACAATGGCAAAGATGTAGCTAGTTATATACCAAATTAAAATATGGGCTTAGATAATAATATTGGCTTATGAAAGCTACAAACCTTGGAATTAGCCAATCAATGATTAACCAATACAAATTCATCACAAGTTTTTACATAAAATGTGAATAGAACTCATATTATAATTATTGTTTATGCTATTTTATGAAAATGATTCTTTGGATTCATGTTTCATAACTTGCGTTGATATGGTAATCTAGATATGAACATATTGATCACAAAATATTGTGAAAGTATTTGAAATTGGAGTTAAATATACCATGGACTTTTATTGTACATAGGTTTATTGGTTCTATAAGTAAAGTTTGAATTTATTATATATCCAAAAATGTTATAAACAATTAAAAGTGGTAAATAATAGAGATATATACTTAGGTTGCACAATGGTGGAGAAATAAAGTTCTCATAAAATTTTGAAATCAAGTTTAGAGGTTTCAAAAGTCATAAACTAGGAATTGGCCATTGGACAATTAATATATGCATTGGAATCTCATGATAATATTTGAAATAGGTGGTTTTCAATTAAAGCTATCACTATAAATGA